GAACATAACTTGATCATGAAATATCTGAGAGCAACACGGCTAATCTAACACTTCGAGAGCATGAATTGAACATAGCTGATCTAACATGGTCCTACTAACATCAAGAAAAGGCAACATTAAATTACCTCTTCGAACGCTCGATGAAACTCTGCTTGGTGCGGTGTTCGTGCGCGTGCTTCCGTGCGTGTGGCTTGCGGCTAAAGTTCTCTATACTAAGATAGGTACTTAGTCTTATTTACTAGGCTTAGATAAGAGTATATTGAAGCTAAAATTTTCCCAACACTTAGCCTTATATATGGCCGAACATAATAAGTGAAGAGATGGGAAAAATTGTTGTCCAATTACTTGCTTCCACTTGCTGAACCCATGGCTTAATTTGAGCAAAATATAGCTTAGTCATCCCTAACCCAAGCTTAGTCATAGTTTAAGTGCTAGGATTTGGACACCTCATGCTTAATTTGCATTATAAAGTTTTATGATATTTTCCCACTAGCTCACGGCATTTTGAGGAGAAATTGGCATGAATAAGCCTTAAATTAAGCTTACTTAATGACTAATACATGATTTATTTAATTAAACTTGGTATTTAAATACCAAGATTATTCCAAACATAAACGTGACTTCGAAAATAATTTCGAAGAATCTTGACTGAAATAATTAGTTCCGAACAATAATAATAATGAAATAATTATTTCAGAACTAAACGCGTAATTACATAAATAACATGACGGGATATAACAATATTCCCTCCTTAAATATTTCCGTCCTCGGAAATACAAAATGAAACATATATATACATGAAACATAAGAAATATATACATCAAAACTGAAAATCGGAAAAACGAGCGCGAATATCGGCCTCCTGCTCCCAAGTGGCTCCGTGACGATCCCACTGAATACGTACGATGGGGACATCACGCTTCCGGAGCCGTCGAACCTGTCGGTCCAACACAGCTACTGGTTGCTCCTCGTAAGATAAGTCTAGATGGATCTGAATATCAGAATGGGGAATGACATGATCGGGGTCGCACACGTACTTGCGTAACATGGATACATGAAAAACATTATGAACGCTGGATAACTCGGGAGGTAAGGCCAATCGATACGCAATGTCGCCCACTCGCTCGAGCACTTCGAATGGGCCAATGAATCGAGGGTGCAGCTTCTCTCTCTTCCCGAATCGAATAACTCCGCGAAATGGACTAACTCTGAGAAAAGCTCTCTCTCCAACCTCGAACTGGATATCTCGTCGATGATGATCGACAGTTGATTTCATTCGACTCTGAGCTGTCTTGAGTCTCTGCCGGATCAACTCGACCTGCTCTGTTGTCTCCTCGATCAATTTCGGACCGAGTACTTGATGTTCACCGACGTCGTCCCAATAAAGAGGGGAACGGCGCTTACGACCGTAAAGTGCCTCGTAAGGAGCCATCTGAATAGCTGAATGATAACTGTTGTTGTACGCGAACTCGGCGTACGGCAACAATGACTCCCACTTAGCACCCCTGTCAACAGCCAAAGCTCGCAACATATCCTCCAGCGTCTGAATAGTCCACTCTGTCTGACCGTCAGTCTATGGATGGTAGGCTGAACTGAATGCTAGCTTCGTGCCCATCGCCTTGTGCAAACTTTTCCAGAATCTACTGGTGAATCTGGGATCTCTGTTTGACATGATAGTAACAGGCACTCCGTGGATTCGAATGATCCCACGGGTATAAATCTCAGCCAACTTGTCCAAAGACATATTCATCGATACTGGCAAGAAATGAGCAACCTTAGTCAATCTGTCGACCACGACCCAAATAGCGTTGTGATGTTCAGACGACCTCGGTAACCCCGTGACGAAATCCATCGAAACCTCCTCCCACTTCCACCGCAGAATCAGCAGTGGTCGTAGAAGGCCTATGGGACTCTGATGTTCAGCTTTGACTTGCTGACAGGTTAAACATCTCCTCACGAAGTCGGCTACGTCCTTCTTCAACCCTTTCCACCAGAACGACCTTTTCAGGTCATGATACATCTTAGTGCTTCCTGGATGGGCTAGATATGGTGCGGTATGAGCTTCAGTCAAAATCTCCTTCCTCAATGCTTCGACTTTTGGCACCACAGTCCTGCCACGAAACTCCAAGGCCCCATCAGTGCCTCGGTGAAAACCCTCGACGCCTCCGGCACGAACTTTGGTATCAATCGCACGAATAAACTCATCTGAAGCCTGCTCTTGCCGGATTCTCTCCCTCACCGTCGGCTGAATCTGCATGAAACTGACACTCCCCGTAATAACTGTAGGAAGTGCATCAACCGTCTGAATCTGCATCCGGGCGAACTCTTGAATCAACTGACTCTGTTGAGTAACAATGTACGTCAAGTCACCCTTCACCTTGCGGCTTAGGGCATCAGCAACAACATTCGCCTTTCCCGGATGGTACTGAATTGTGCAATCATAATCCTTGACAAGCTCTAACCAACGGCGCTGTCTCATGTTGAGCTCCTTCTGAGTGAAAATATACTGCAAGCTCTTATGATCGGTGAAAATCTCACATCGACTGCCGTATAGATAAAATCTTGAGCGCATGAACAACTGCGGCAAGCTCCAAGTCGTGCGTCGGGTAGTTCTGTTCATGTGGTTTAAGCTGGCGTGAAGCATAAACAACGACCTGGCCATCCTGCATGAGTACGCATCCCAAACCCTGTGTTGAAGCATCACTGTAAATGGTGAAACTCCGAGAAGGATCGGGAATAGTCAACACCGGTGCTGAAGTTAGCCTCTTCTTGAGCTCCTAAAAGCTCGATTCACAACGATCAGTCCACTCAAACTTCACAGACTTCCTAGCCAGCTGGGATAAAGGAATGGCAATCTTGGAAAAGCCCTCAATAAATCTGCGGTAATAACCAGCCAAACCGAGAAAACTGCGAACCTCGGATGGACTCTTCGGTGTTGACCAGTTCTGAACAGCTGCAACCTTGGAGGTATCTACCTCGATACCTGCCTGAGTAATGACATGGCCAAGAAAAGCTACTCGCTGGAGCCAGAATTCGCATTTGGAAAATTTTGCATATAACTTTTCTCGTCTGAGGGTTTCGAGAACAATCCTCAGATGTTCCTCGTGCTCCTTCTGGCTCTTTGAGTAGATAAGGATATCGTCAATGAAAACAATAACGAAATGATCAAGGTAGGAATGGAAAATATGGTTCATCAGGTCCATGAAAACTGCTGGAGCATTACTGAGGCCAAATGGCATGACGACGAACTCGTAATGGCCGTACGAGTACGGAAAGCGGTCTTAGCAATATCTGACTCTTTGATTTTCAGTTGATGGTAGCCTGATCGTAAATCAATCTTTGAGAAGACACAGGCTCCTCTCAGCTGATCAAATAAATCGTCGATCCTGGGAAGCGGATACTTGTTCTTGATCGTCAACCGGTTAAGATCCCGGTAGTCGATACACATGCGCATGGAACCGTCCTTCTTCTTGACAAAGAGAACGGGTGCTCCCCAAGGTTGATGGAACCCACGAGGATCTCGATATGCACAAATCACAGACAAACATTCAACATAAACCTATGCACAGCGGATCTAAAGGTTTGATGAAGAAAACTTACTGCTTAAAATTTATGTAGATCTGGCTGGCCCGGACAGTTGACCGCAAATCAAATCTTCTCGGAATCGAACAAACTTGACCAATCCAGAAAGCTGACGTCACGGCGAAGTCAACGGCATTGACCGATCGGAAATCGGAGGCTCCACGCTCTCTCACGCGCGCGGGTGATCTCCGGCAGCAGTCCTCTCCCGGCGGCGCGTGCGGGCGCGTGTGACGTCGGACGGCGGCGATCTCGACGGCGATCTCTTCGTCTCGTCGTCCTGGTCGTCGTGGTATGGTCGCTTGCTGGTTTTGGTCTCCGGTTTGAATGTATGATTGGAATCTCTATATACCTTAAGATCTTCTACTGTATTCTCAAACAGCTTTCTAGATCTTGTATCAGTGGAACACAAGAAATAGAAGAACTCCTTGGAAGAGAGAGAGAGGGGCTGGACGTTTCTTCCAAATTGTGGGATTATTCTCTTCTCTTCCATGAGCCTAATGCTGTATATATAGAGCTACAGTAGGGACCCTAAGGAGAATAGGATAAGGGCTTCTAATATATTAATACTGTGGAGCAACCCCACAATTAATATATTAATAATATTAAAGTCCACCACAATAATATTATTGCACTCCCCTCACCTATCCCAAATTACATTTGAGACTCCTTATTATAATTATCCGACTTACCTCCCCATGTTTAAGATATAATGTCCATTAATTAATTCGATCACTAATAATCAAGAATTAATTAATATATTATATTACCGAAGCTAGCGCTCGCTCATAGCATTCATATTATGCCGGAATAAATCCACCTGCAGGGTTTAGCATAATATTCCTTCATGAACTCACTTCGGGGACATCATCACACTAACGCACATGGTGACCGTAAATATCCTAATAGCACATCGAACACATAATGTTATTACCCAATTCATTAAGTATGTCGATCCGGCTTGGATCTCACGCAAAGAATCAAAGCAATAACAATTATGTGCACATGCCTATTTAATATCTTACGGGTTAAAAGCACGCAATAATTAACTGACGCCTAGTTCGTTTACGACGATTAGTATAAAACGAACATCCCTCTCTGGGATCCTGTTCAATACATAAATGTACTAGTGCAACTAATCGGTCAAGACAAACCGTACGGTTGACACTACAACCGTTCCGATGGGTTGTTCAATTCCATCTAGGTTGTGAACCAACGATTCTTGTTTCGCAAGTAACTGATATAGTGATCTTCGGTACGCCCGATGACGACCCACTTATCTACACGCAAAACAACAGAACGTGGAACTTATTTAACCAAACATAATTCTCATTCATCAAGGAATAACAAGTGTAATATCCACTAAAGCAAAGCTTAAGTATATAACACCAACAAAGGTGACACGCTCGGCCGAATGAAACCGAGTCGCAATAACTCCTGGATTTGCGCCTTAAGCTCCTGCAACTCTTTCGGCGCCATATGATACGGGGCTTTGGATATTGGGCCGGCCCCTGGAATAAGATCGATAGAGAACTCTACCTGCCGGTTAGGCGGTCCTCCTGGAAGTTCGTCTGGAAACACGTCCACAAACTCACGAACGACTGGAACGTCATGAGGTGTTCGTGCTTTCTGAGACTCATCGACAAGGCTCACAAGATAACCCTGACATTTACTTCGTCGCAGCATCTTGGTGGCTTTCGCCATCGAAACGACATGAGGTAAAGAACGATTCTTGGTGCCAAAGAAGGTAATCAAATCGTCTCCCGGAAGATAAAGAGTAATCTCTCGGTCATGGTATCGAATGTCTGCATGATAATAGGATAGCCAATCCATTCCGAAAATGAGGTCAAAATCCCTCATCTCGAGAACATAAGTGTCGGTAGACAATATGCGACCACCAATAGAAAGGCTGAGATCTGAAGCTTTTGCAGTAATCACTATCCTTCGTCCCGAGGCTAAACTCACCTCGAGAGGATCGACAGCGGTAAAGGCATGAACTCCGATGGTATCAAGACATCGTCGTGATATAAAAGAATGTGTCGCTCCAGTATCAAACAGGGCGAAAACAGGAACATCATTAAGTATAAGCATCCCTGACATGGTACCTGGCTGCTGCTCTGCCTCTGCCTGATCAACTGCATAGACTCGGGCCTGTTGTCTGCCCCTCTGCTGTTGTTGGGGCGGCCTCTGATCCTGCTGACGGGGATGCTGCTGCTGTTGCCGTGGCTGCTGTGGTGGTGGCTGAGGCTGTTGTGGCTGCTGCTGAAATTTCTTCGGACAACGGCTAACAAAATGTCCGGGCTCGTGACAGTAGTAGAAAATATCCTGGCCCATGTGACACTCTCCGCGATGAAGTCGTCAACAAATGGGGAACTGTGGAATCTACTGTTGTCTCTGTCGAGTCCTCCTGTCCATCGGGGCGCCTTTCCCCTTCCTCTTGTTGTTCTTCGGTGGTTGGGCAGCAGCTGGTGGAACTGGTGGAGCTGTGGATGACTGGGCAGGGGCAGATGGCTGAGAACGGTCGCGGCTTGCCTCCCTCCGAATACTGACGTCCACCTCCTGGCAATCGAAACAGCACGTGCATAGGTCTGAGTCCCGTGTCCTACAATGTTATGACGGACTGCTGGGTAAAGCCCGTCAATGAAGCGTTGTGCCCTCTGTGCCTCCGTACGTACCAAGTCCGGAATAAAAGCTGCAAGTCTAGTAAACTCCCTCTCGTACTCATCAACAGAACGAGTACCCTTTTTGAGCGACAGGAACTGACGCTCCATCTCTGCTCGGTAGTACGTGGGATAATACTTCTCGCGGATTAGCTCTTTGAACCTCTCCCAGGTACAACCTTCTTTCTCGCCGGAACGCATACTCCAGTAGGCATTCCACCAGAGTCGGGCATCGCCGGTTAGTTGAAGCTGTGCGCATATGACGCGATAGTGATCTGGACAGTCCATGACCTCGAAAATCAATTCAAGGCCCTGAATCCACTCGTCCACAATACGAGGATCTCCTTGTCCGAAGAATTTCTCAGGATGATAGTTGCGGAACTGTGCGACTACTGTGGCCTGGGGGACCGCTAGCTGAGCGGGTTCCCTACGGGGCGGCATCTGAATATTGAAAGATTTAACATTATTAAAATACAAGGAACATACTTTGACTGATCATTAAAGCGCACAAATTTCTTGACGAGTTGCCAAACATGGCTGGGAAAATAATGACATTAATCTTGAGGAAATCTAGAGTTATATCTGACTACACTGAATTATATGTTCTAAACTTGATTCGAGCATCTTAACTAAGTCATGATTAATAAAATTCTAAGCATAGACAAAGTAATTTGTTTATAATCTGAAAACATAAGTCAGCACTTACCTGTAGTCGGTGAGGCGTGAGCGTGACGGTTCAGGTTTTTAAAAATTTCTGACCAGTGAAACTTTTCAGAAACGCAGAAACGTGCTCTGATACCAACTGTAACACCCCGCTTTAACATGAAAATCAGAGTACGCGTTTTCGCAAAATCTTTGAATAAAAATATTTAATTTGCGAAATACTCATTCGGAGTGTTACCGTAAAACATGACTTGTCTTAAAAACCATTATTTAAAGAAAATAATACGGTTTAGCGTAATATAAACACCGATTATACATCAGGTCTGAGTTTGACAAAATAGTAATAAATAGCGGAAAGCATAGCGTGGCCAAAACATGATTAAACATATTTACAAAACTTCTGAACCGAACGCCCGCTCACTCCTCGGCTCCGACCCTGTGACCTGAAAAACATGAAAATATGTGGGGCGTGAGCACTAAGCCACTGTGCTCCGCAGAAACTCATACTGAAGTAAACTGTAAAAATAATTGCAATATCATGATCCTGGTATATACATAACCTGAACATGAAACCGGTAATAAACATGAACCTGATAATCATCACATGAACCATGACTGTTACCTCATCTGCCAGCATAAAAATGTCGGACACCATGTGCACACTCTAGTGGGCAGACTAAGGCCACTAGAACCCAGAATGGACCGGCAACCATTCCAAGCGGATACATAGCATAGCATGACAAGATACATACCTCAAACATGGTACCGTAATTATAATCAATGTAATACCCAGTCTGAGTCCCCACCTGATCCGTGAAAATGAAAAGGCAGTGCTGATACTCGTGTCCTGATCAAACTGAAATATAATATAAACAATTACTAAATACTATGCTCAGATTGATAAAATTAACTGTTTAATTCGTTAAGATGCTCTACTGGACTTGACATGACATTATGGATTTTTAATAAGTATAACCGGAACTGCTCTGACATGACCTGAACCCGGAATTTTAACTGAAAATAGGACCCGAACATGAACCGGTACTTAAAACATCATAATATAAGGTGAACCGGTCTGAGCCGGTCTGAACCGGTCTAAACCGGTCCGGTTGGACCGCCGGCCTGCCGTGGCCAGGCGGTCGGCCACTGAC